TTGTGACTATGATTGTGATTATGATTATTGCTGTTGTGACTTGTTGTTGATGTTAAAGCATTTGCGTTAAATGCATTTGTAGTAGTTGCTTTGACTTTGATGGTCTTGCCATTGGCTGTCACTTTAAGTTGACGTATTTCAGGGAAAAATTCGATCATTAATATCTCAAGTAGTTCCTAATAAGAAATTTTTATTAAAATTGAATTAATAAATATTTTAATAACTTACGTAAAATAATTGCTTATTATAAATTGGATTTTGTAAAGCATCAAAGACTTTTAGCACACCATGTTTGGCAGCTTGTGCACCAACCAAATTGCATAGCACCTCCGGTATATTATCCATTAGTAATGCTTTTGCAGCATTTGTTGTCATCTCTTTCATATCATCAGAACGTACTGGATATGCGGAAGCTAAAACACCTCCTGGCCAAAATGATTTTAGAATGGCGGAAAAATAATGATGTAGCATTGATTCCTCAAAGAGACCCATCACAGATTCACGTATTTGCCTTAAGTAAATAAATGATAATAAATATTGAATATATATTTTAAATATTTTATATTTATTAAAGCAAATATTTTAATATGTTCTTTTATATATAAAATAATATTATATTAATCATTTCAAATCGTCAAAAACTTCTAATGGATATAAAATGTAAATAAATGTAAATTACTTGTGATGTATACATAATTATTGTTCTTTTTAAGTATTGAAAAGAATGAATTGCACTTGTATTTTAATCTAAAATTAATATATTATTACTACTATTGCATATCGACTGATCCCCACTTTATGTACTTACCTATTAATTGTTCTACCATAAGTTATTTGTACAAACGAAATCATACTCTTTCGTAGCCATTTAAAAACTCCACCCATATCGAATATTTCTCCCAACAGTGCATATAGTGGTTCAGCTATAGAATCTTTAACATCTAAATCAGTTAGAAGTTTTGCATCACCTGCTGTGTCACCTTCCAAATATGTTGATATGTCTTCCTCATCACGATGTAAACCCCAAAATGGATCTGCTGCTTTATTTAATTCATTTGCTTTGGCAGCATCACTTTTAAATAAGGTTGACAATGAAAATTTGGATTTTTTCGGAGATGGCATCGTTTGTTTTAAATGATCTGAACTGGGACTCAAAAATGTATAAATTGCTTCGCTGCCATTTAGATGATCATCTTCTAGAATAAACTATTTTAAAAAACAAAGGATAGTATTATAAAATATTATAAAATATGATGAGCTAGAGAAGTCAATAAATATATTATTTTTTTTCTGTTTTGAAATGCTAAGAGTATAAATTTGAAAACTTATAGTTGATACAATAACTCCAAACAACCACTTAAGAATTATGAAAACCATAATGATAATGAAAATTCTGATAAAGCATAATCTGACAGGATCATTTAAAGCTAAGCTTAGCGTAGCTATACATAATATAGATTGCACATTTTAAATAGCACAGGTGTGATCCACAAACAATATATATAATTTTGGTTGCATGAGTTTAGGATATTATAAGGTAAGGATGAAGTAAGAAGTAGTTTTGTTTGGGATAAAGGATGGATGAAGGGTAGTTGGGTTTCAGAAGCAGCTGGGTTTACGGCCCAAAGCCAGTCGTCAATCATAGGAGGTTTAGCACTCCTGCTAATATAGCAGTTTCGTTCTTTTGTCCTGCCAACAGTCATCATTATAAACTTAACAACTTTGAAAACTTTGTTGTTATAAAATAGTGAATTTGAAGCAGTGGACATGCTGCAATATAGGACGCAGATAGCCATAGACTATACTCAACCTTACTGAAGTTATCTCCGTTGCAATAGATGCAGATGTATTTATGATATAAAGGAAGAGAGATCGAAGTATGAAACTAAAAGAAACGAAAAGGTAAGACTCTACTTACTGTTGAGTCATTTGAATGTTTATTCAAAAAGGTCAAAAAGTAGTCACTGGACTTTATTTTCGTGCGTTGTTAGTTGATGTTTGAACTACCTACATAAAGTCAGACTCAATCTATTCATTTTAAAACTTCGACCAACAAATTTTTCTATATAAAAATCTATCCAATAGTCATGTACAAACTTATGACATAAATAACTCTTACACAACTATGATTAATATGAATAAATATATATCACTTTGCCTAATATAGTACATAAAAATGATATGTTATTAAATAATGAATTCTCCATGGGATTGCATTAATTATTCATTATACAATGTAAGGCAAATCTAAATTTTTTTTCATATTATAAATAAAAAATATTATTAATAACACTTACATTGAGAAACTTTTGTATTTGTCCTCTCGCTTTTTCTAGGGCTTGTTTGTCATTTTTCAGAAAGAAAAATTTAAAATTTGTAGGCAAATCAAGTGATTTTAAATTAGCCGAAACGTGCCTTAATTTTCGTTGTAGATCCTATAAAAATAGAAAATTATGATATAAACTTTTTAAATAAAAAATTTATTTGATATACCATACAATCATACTAAATTATATTATGCAAAATAAATTTAGAACTAATTTTTATCTAGCTTAAAATAATTTATTAGTACTTATTATATAGAAATTTATAATTAAAAATAAACTTATAGGAATACAAGAACAAAGTTAAAGTTTATCTTATAAATTTTTATAACAGTATTTAAAAAGCCTTTTTTTAAATTAAGAAAAAATTATATTATTTAAACAAATTTTGTGCATGGATATTCAGAGCCTCGGTGGCGCAGTAGGCAGCGCGTAAGTCTCATAATCTTAAGGTCGTGAGTTCGAGCCTCACCCGGGGCAATATTTTTTAATAATTATAGAAATGCATATATACCTATATAGAAGTATTTTCGAACTTACGTGTACTTGATTTAAGGATCTCATAACAACCCAGCCACTTGAAATGTTACCAAGTCGTGCCTCCGATTTTCCAGTACCTGAAGATGGCGGTGCATTTATATCTTCATCAACATGCACTAAAATCATAAATTGCAGTGATTCTTTTTCATCTGAAACCTATGTATATAATAAAAGGAACCATTAGCTAACATTTAAAAAAGAAAGAATTTCGTAAATGAACAGTACACCTAATGCAAATATAATTAATTAAGAGTACAAGAAATATAGGAAGAAATAACGCATGTGGTTTAGATATTTCATTAATTTATAAAAATACATACCTCTACACTTTGTATAGTCGCCTTCCATTTGCCCAAATGTTCAGTCCATGCATCTGTACGTTTTAAATGCGCTTCCGTTTGTCTTTTTTCATTTTTCAACCAATCCATCTCCTTTTCCAGCATTTGCAATACCTTCGATTCTGGTTTCACTGAGTATTTCAAAGCATCGAGTGCTTGAATTTTTTTATCGATGCGTTCCTGTATTTGTTCTAACTTTTTTCTTGAATAAGACGTATGCGCTGCTACATCCATTGTTGCAGTACCACAGCCATCTGGATCTAATGAGGTAGTTTGTTCATCCTGATTATCATTCAGTGTGCGTAATAGTAAGGTGGGATCTTTAAAATCGTCCGAGTTAATTGTTTCTTTAAATAAACGATACTGTTCGCTCAACACAAATGGTGGATAATATTTTTCTTCTAAAGTTTTCACTATATTCTTTTGTATATCAAAAAATATATCAGGACCAGTATCGCCAAGTAAAAATGTTTCTATCAATTTTCTTTCATGTTTATCAATTTGTATTTCAGGCTTTGGCACTCGAATGTAAGTATAAAATATTTCAGTGCCCAACTGATGCCAAGATGTTTTATTGGTATGTTTCATTTCTTCCACTGCTAAATAAAATCCAACTAATGCACTGGCTTTTAGTGGTTCTAAGAAAATTGTTAGGTATCTACGACCAACAGATGTGCTAAGTATTTCAATCAATGTGAGATCCTTTAAAAATAAAATAAAATATAGTCAAGTGAGTAGTTTAAAAATATTATATGTACACTTACCAAATCACTGGAATAATTACCATTCCAACCAAATTTAGACAAATTCTTTTCACATTGAATTTTTGCAAAGTTCAGTTGCTGCACATAACGTTTTAAACGTACAGCAGCAGATATTTCTGATTTGGAGAGGTTATGATCGTCTGTATCTGGAACAATAAATTAATTTGTATTATATATGCTTGTCTAAATTAGAATATTTTTAAAGAGTTTGTACCTTTGGCACGTTGTAAGTTTTGCATTGTGGTGGCATGCATTAAATCATTAACAATGCTCTTTCGTATAAGTGATAATTCCTCCAAATTACCGGAATTATTTATTATCTTCAAAAAATCTTCAAAACTTGCTGCGTATTCATAGCTACGTTTATTGATAGCAGCTGCTGCTAGACGTGACTCAATGTTTTGTACAACTTTTTGATTGATATAATCCGGTGATGTCAACATTTTAATCATGGGAAAGAATACTGCAAGTATATCAAGTCATGTAAATCTTTTTTTTTTTTTGAGAAGGTTGTGAATATATTTACTTTTATATGATAAAATTTCACATAGTAACACTTTTAATGGTGGAAGAGAATAACCTCTTGGCAATAATAATATCACCATTATTTCACATAATTTATGCAAAAATTCCATTTCTTTTTCTTCACTGACCAAATATGAATTTGTTGAAAACACTGGCGCACTAGAAGTTTCAACACTGCAATATATAAATGTTTTATAGTTAATAATGTATATTGTTAGTTGTATATAATTATAATACTTACGCCCTTGCTTCAGCAATGCGTATCTTTTCTAAATGTACTGTAACCCGATTAACCATATCTACAGCTATAATTTTTGGTGCATCCATTTTTATGGCACGATCATGTATTTTTTGAACAGCATTCCAGAAGTCCTCACGTACGATGTCATTGATAAGCTTAGGCTTAGTCACCACATAACTAAAAATAAATGGTTTAGTTGCTATTAAATTATTTGTTTAAGTATAATATGGTGTATTAAAATTAAATAAAAATTTAATTAATAATTTTTATGTCTTATAAGAGAAATGTATATTTAACTGTTTCGGTTACTATTGCATATCAATGATCAGATACAATAAAATATCTATTATCAGTCTTCTTGAAAAATACTATCAGTCTACACACCTATTTCGGTCACTATTAAATATCAGTTATCAGTTCCTTTAGATTTTAATAACAGAAGAGTACACACAGCTGTTTTGGATACTATTAAATATCCATTATCAGTCTTCTTGAAAAGTACTATCAGAAAAGTCTATATTCCTGTTTTGGTTACTATTAAATATCAATTATCAGTTTTTTTGGAAAGTATTAACAGAAAAGTGTATACAGCTGTTTCGATTACTGTTCTATAGTATACATATATATTACACTTATAGTAAATAATAGTATTGATAGAATACTGAAGAAAGTAAAGAAAAAGACATCTATCGCATAGTAGAGAAAAGACCTCATACCATACCACTACCAAACAATTCCAAAAAAATAAATTTTAATAATTAATTTATAATAATTTTAAATTATTTAAAACCGTTTACGTCACCACTGACATTATATTTATACAATACATATATCTATATTTAACTATAGATAAATATTCATCTATTTTTAGCTCTTTGTGTCGTATTACTAAACAATTTATAACCACAATATGACGTATATACTTTTTCGTATATACGTATATATGTTTTCTAAAAAGTTCATATGCCTTCAGAAAATTCTCTTAATACTCCCGTGGTTATTTTTGTTTTGCTGTATTACTATGAAAATTATAAACTGGTATAATTACATAATTATATGGTATTATATATATATATAAAGCTTATAACTATGGCGATTTTGCAGTCTGCAAACTACGTTTATATCTTTAGATCTCAGTTTATATAGTATAGTTCATTTTAGCACAATTAAGTAGTAAAGTTTTAATGATATACAGTTTGGTAGCTCGTAAAATTGAAAAAATTTTAGCAATCCCATTGTTAGGCCACTAAAGAGACACAAGTCTTTCGATTTGCTGATGGGTCACTATAGGTTAAAAAATCGTTCTGCTAATATTCTTTTCAATGACTTTTACCGAAAGAGGAGAAAGTAGGGCTTGGAGTCACTAGGCAATGTAACATGTCTAGCGCAACCTTAATCCAAGCATTCACAGCATTCATGTAGCACTACTGAATAGTTACTTGGCACCCGCTAGGTAATGAACTTATACTGCATACTGCGAGTCCTATCCCCAAGAACGGACGGGTCTACATCCCGGAGCCACTCATCAAGTATGATGACCAAATGTCATTCAACATTCCCAAAAGGGACAATACAAGCAGATCGCTGTTGACTACAACAACAACAGTCCTATTCCCAAGAATTTAAGTTTGAGTTGTGCACATGGTTTGTAATTGTCACGTAAGGGTTTTTAATCAGCCGTCAATGTAGGACGTAAAGTAGATAACATAAAAAACATTACATGTGGTTGGGTATTGGTTCTGTTAGAGGCGAAGGGTAGATATTCTCACATTACTAAATTTAAAAATTTTTATTTTCTTAAATAATAGGCTATCGATTGGATTAGTTAATGCCAAAAACAAAAATTTTTATCATTGAGTTGAATTTTTATCTAAAATAAATCTCAAGAGAATACTGCATTATTCGAACTCTATTATCTTTATACAAATAAACAGTAAATGTAAGAAATAGATAACTTATATTCCTAGACCTAATCTAAATAAATTTTTGAAATTTTTTTAAACAGTCTTACCCCAACCAAGGCAGCATGAAATCCCGCAATACATATTCAATTATTTGTTGTAATTGTAGGTCAACAGTCTTCCCAAATATCAATGGCAAATTTGATGGATTCTTAATTGGATTTGGCAAATCGAAAATACTGCTTCTGAAAAACAAATAAAAAATAATACAGAATACAAAAT